ACTTATCGTTTGTCTTATTTAGACAATTATTTTTGCCAAAAAGGAACATTTTTCCCTGCGTTAGAAGAGTAATGGGCGACATATATTGTCATAAAGAGTAGCTTAAGGTCATTTGAACCTCCATTCAAGCATTGAGAGCCAGTTAAACAATCATGTAGAAATAGATGCAATAGATCTTTTGAATTGAAGTGCATGGCTTGAACTTGCCAATGAAAATCTCCCTTTAAACACTTTGAGGATGTTGTCTTCATGTGTTAGCTGGCTCATTCGTTCAATTAGAAGTATGTTCTCCGGTGCCTCGGATGTAACCAATTGATCCTGTTAAAGTACTTTTTTTTTTTAGCAGTTATGGTTTTGTTATGGAGACTCTCTGAATCAGAATGATGGATTGCTCAGAAAACATGTGAAGCAATAACAGAGCAGATGCAAGTTAATGTTATACGAGTTGTTTTTGGTGTGTGATGGTTCGGCGCAGGTTCTATGTGTGTTTGTCACTCAGCAAATGCACATACCAACATTTTGTGTGTCAATATGGATGCAAGCGTGGGGTATGCAGTGTGTCAGCTTGTGAGTCACTCTGTGTGTGAATGACGGCACATTGGTGAGGTTTCACAGCCGAAGCATTTCCTCCCGAGCACACCTTATTGTTTCACGTTGTCAATTTTACTTTGCAATATGAATTAATAGAAATGTCTTATATGCCAGTGTGACCAGGCCTTAATGCAGATATTTACAGTATTTGTATTGGCATAAAGTGTCTCAAAAAGGTGCAGTACAGATATGCCAAAATAGGTTTAATATAGTTTTTCTCCACTAGAGGGCACTGATGAGTTTAATTCAACTGAAAAATATGCTGAAAACAAAGCTTAATTCCAACTCTTTTATTAAGGAGCTTTACATTAAGGAGTTACAATTTAAAGCGTTTTTCAGCGTTTTTAATAATTAAATATTTGCCTAAATAATTTTATTATTATTAATAATGTTTTGCGATTTTATTTTCAAAAGCATCAGTCGGCATCAGACAAAAATTACATTTATGAGTTGATTATAAGTAGCATTTATATGTAGCAGTATAGTTTAAACTAATTAAGAGATTAAAGAGTTTCAAGTTTTAATTCAGTTTTAACAAGATATTTCCAAGATATTAAGACAAACAATCTTATCACGTTATCATTTCAAACTTTTCTAGTTATATAACAAGAAAAGCTTCTTATTATAACATGAAAATATCTTGTTATAAGAACACACTTGACTTTAACACATGAAACAGTTTGGCTGCAATCGGCTTCCGTAGGCTGACATCATTGAGTCTTTAGCCCTTCGTTGTTCTCCGTGTAACAATATAAAAAAACATCAATCATTTCGGCTTCAAAATGAAAGCCTTAAGCAAGACGATGGTAAAGGTTATATCTGTTCGCACTGCAGATTTATTTTAATACAACAATATACATAAAAGGAAAGATGACATTCTGTGTCTTAAACCCCTTGGCCTGCATGCTCTTGCCTTCTCTCGTCTTGAGTCAAAAACAGACTCCTTCAGCAGTTTACTTTTTTATCAGTGCCAGCATATGACTTATGTTTTTATATGTCATATCACTTCATTATGTATTCCTTGTTTATATTTATTGATTTCGATGGTGGCTGTGATCTTAAGCGACTGAAATGTTGTTGATTATTTTGCACTTTTTCTTCTTCTTCTGTTTACATGTGTTTCTCTTCTCTGGGCGAGTCAATCAAGTGTATTGATTTGTGTTGTAGTGCAATACTGTCGATTCTCTGACTTCCACTGAAACAACTGCATTTTCACGTTGCCACCGGTCATTGCCGTAATCGCATGCGTGTCCATGTTTTGAGATGTCATGTGTGGTAAATGTTATATTCATATCATAATATCTATGTCATTGTGTTGGAATATAAGTCCCTCATTCTGCTGCAAATGTTACTGTCAGAGTGGAAAGAGCTTCATGTCAAGTTGAAACCTTACAAGAAAAGAAACGTGACATTTTGAGGTAAAATAACTCAACTGACTGCTAGAGCTCGGATCAGCTGATGTCCTTTTGTCATCCACAACAGGAAACTGTCTGCACAGGTTTTCCTCTGTAGGCAACTTCATCTGTCTGTGTTCCTCAGAGGTCAGAGGTCAGTCGCTCTCATCGAGATTTCTGCTTGTAGACTATAGAAGCCATATTGTCTTGTGGTGTTGTGTGTGCTTGAAACACCTGTGGATTCTCATCAAACTGTAAATAAGAGAGCCAGAAATTCTAATTAATAAGCGAACATGAAAAGAAATCGCTCTGTACTTATTAAAAAAAAAGATTCTTATGAATGTATCATACCTAGAGATAAAAAGCTGTATGACAATGGATTACTCATAATATTTCATTAAATATTGCTGTGGTATTTTACCCTTGTTTTTGCATTATTGTGGTGAAATGTGCATTAAAAGCCATATGGACCTAAAGAAAGAAATCTCTGTATCAACACTTGGAGGTGGGTATGT